CGGCAGCTGGAGCCCTTTCCCTCCGGGCGGCAGGAACCGAGGAAGGGGTGGGCCGGTGGTTGGGCGGTGCTAGTGCACACGGGTGCATGGAAACCCTTCCCGGCCTGTGCCCTGCAGCGAGGGGCCAAGCGCCCGGGCTCCAACCTCGTCACGGCTCACGCGCAGCCTGGGAGGCACCAGGGACAGCGCTCGACCGAGCAGCTCGGTGCCGCGAGTCCCCCCGCGCAGCGCGTGAGCAGCGGCCCTGGGAACATCTTGGCCTTGCTCCACAGTGTGCCGGCACCGGCCCACCGGAAAGGCCTAATCTGTGTCCCACCTCCCTTCGGAGCCCGGCCAGTGAGAGCGCCCGGGGCCCAGTCCCGCTGAGTCGCTTGCTGGTACTGAAGCCCCAACCCTGACGTCTGCTCTGCTTGCTGGGCCGGCACGTGGGCGTGAACCAGGGCTCCTATTTCTCCTGGTGGCTGGTGCTTTTCAGCCCCACGGAGCTCCCCCCCCCGGCCCTTCGCTGGTGCTGTGCCGCAGGCGGGGTTGTGCTGCGCTGTGCGGGGAGCTGGGCGTAGGCACGTGGCTCTAGTGCCACCAAGGAACCGGAGACGCGCTCTGGCCCTGGCGCTGTGCCGCAGGCGGGGTCGTGCTGCGCTGTGCGGAGAGCTGGGCGTAGGCACGTGGCTCTAGTGCCACCAAGGAACCGGAGACGCGCTCTGGCCCTGGCGCTGTGCCGCAGGCGGGGTCGTGCTGCGCTGTGCGGAGAGCTGGGCGTAGGCACATGGCTCTAGTGCCGCCAAGGAACCGGAGACGCGCTCTGGCCCTGGCGCTGTGCCGCAGGCGGGGTCGTGCTGCGCTGTGCGGAGAGCTGGGCGTAGGCACGTGGCTCTAGTGCCACCAAGGAACCGGAGACGCGCTCTGGCCCTGGCGCTGTGCCGCAGGCGGGGTCGTGCTGCGCTGTGCGGAGAGCTGGGCGTAGGCACGTGGCTCTAGTGCCACCAAGGAACCGGAGACGCGCTCTGGCCCTGGCGCTGTGCCGCAGGCGGGGTCGTGCTGCGCTGTGCGGAGAGCTGGGCGTAGGCACGTGGCTCTAGTGCCACCAAGGAACCGGAGACGCGCTCTGGCCCTGGCGCTGTGCCGCAGGCGGGGTCGTGCTGCGCTGTGCGGAGAGCTGGGCGTAGGCACGTGGCTCTAGTGCCACCAAGGAACCGGAGACGCGCTCTGGCCCTGGCGCTGTGCCGCAGGCGGGGTCGTGCTGCGCTGTGCGGAGAGCTGGGCGTAGGCACGTGGCTCTAGTGCCACCAAGGAACCGGAGACGCGCTCTGGCCCTGGCGCTGTGCCGCAGGCGGGGTCGTGCTGCGCTGTGCGGAGAGCTGGGCGTAGGCACGTGGCTCTAGTGCCACCAAGGAACCGGAGACGCGCTCTGGCCCTGGCGCTGTGCCGCAGGCGGGGTCGTGCTGCGCTGTGCGGAGAGCTGGGCGTAGGCACGTGGCTCTAGTGCCACCAAGGAACCGGAGACGCGCTCTGGCCCTGGCGCTGTGCCGCAGGCGGGGTCGTGCTGCGCTGTGCGGAGAGCTGGGCGTAGGCACGTGGCTCTAGTGCCACCAAGGAACCGGAGACGCGCTCTGGCCCTGGCGCTGTGCCGCAGGCGGGGTCGTGCTGCGCTGTGCGGAGAGCTGGGCGTAGGCACGTGGCTCTAGTGCCACCAAGGAACCGGAGACGCGCTCTGGCCCTGGCGCTGTGCCGCAGGCGGGGTCGTGCTGCGCTGTGCGGAGAGCTGGGCGTAGGCACGTGGCTCTAGTGCCACCAAGGAACCGGAGACGCGCTCTGGCCCTGGCGCTGTGCCGCAGGCGGGGTCGTGCTGCGCTGTGCGGACGCTGCCTCTTGCTGGGCTCCATGTTCCCCATGCCCCGGGTGATCTACGCCATGGCTGAGGACGGGCTGCTGTTCAAGTTCCTCTCCAGGGTGCACCCCCGGACCAAGACGCCCCTGGTGGCCACAGTCGTCTCGGGCATCGTTGCTGGTAAGCAGTCGGTCTCCTGCCTCGTGCCTGGCTGCGGGCGAGCCAGGCCTGTGCTCACACTGGCCCTGTTGTGTTCCAGCGCTGATGGGGCTCCTCTTTGAGCTGGAGGACCTGGTGGACCTCATGTCGATCGGCACCCTGCTGGCGTACTCCCTGGTTTCCGTCTGCGTGCTGATCCTCAGGTGGGTGGCCCCTCGGACGTGCGCTGCCTCTGACCGGGGCTGTTCCGCTGCACCGAGGGGCGCTGGCTCCCTGCCCTGTGCAGCGGGGGCCACGGACCCTACGCCCTGGCGGGGCGGACCTGAGCTGTGCTGCGGCCGTTGAGTTTCCAGTGACTTGGGGTTTGGTTCAGGTACCAGCCGGATCAGCTGAACTCTCCAAAGGCCCAGGAGATGGAGGCGCTGAACAGGAGCGAGGAGAAGGGGACCACGAGCCCAGCCAAGGAGCAGTTCACCTGGAGGAGCCTCCTCAGCCCCCCTTGCGACGCTCCCACCCACTCGTCAGGGCGAATTGTCTATGGCAGCACGGCGGCCGCTGGGGAGCACGGGAGGGAGCAACCGGCTTGGGGTGCGGGC